TGATCATTCTGCACTAGCAGCCCCACCTGTGAGACACACAGTTCTCATTCTGCACCAGCAGCACCACTTGGGAGACACCCTCCTCTGGGCAGGCCATGAGCAGGATAACCTTTTGTGTCATTCATTTTGTTTATTAGCTACTTACTAAACAACAGGTATCTCCGTTTCTTCAGGGAAATTGGTTTAAATAGCCAGCGACCTGCCTGTTATAAGAAGAACAACCATCCTTTAAGCAGTCAGAGAATATTCTACAAAGTCTGTGAGGTTCATGAAAAGTACTTTCCTCATCCTGGGGGGATTGTGCTCATACTGCTATACCGATGCCAGTTTTCACTGGTGTTGAAACTGAAACCCTGGTTCATCTTCACCAGTGAGGACAGTGTCGTAGGACTGAACTTCACGACTGTGTGGTTGAAATTCTCGGCCTGGTCCCGTCCAGCCCTGAGGAACAGACTCACTCTCTCTCTGCCTCTGAGCCCCCAGCTGGACCCCAGGTGTTCCTGTGTCTTCAGGGCAGGACAGCAGCACAGCAACCCGGGATCGAGTCTCGCACGACTGCTTGATTCAGGCTGTCCCAGCCAGGATGCCCACGAGCATCGGAAACCTGGCTCTAGACACCCTCATTCCATTCCAGAGCCTTTCCATTCATTGCTAGGAATAGCACGAGGTATTCTGAGTCTCTGGACATTCCCACATCCCCCATGAATCAGCCACGGGCCTCCTGCTTTCTCACAGCCACCAGAAAGAACAATTTCACGCTGCGGCCCGGCAGCGCAACTGGAGTCACAGTGCAATCCCACAGCCTCCCCCAGGCCCCTCGCCAGACGGCACCGTGGCCACAGCTTTCACAAGGCAGCGTGGGAGACTTTTATAGGTTATTACAGTCTAATTAAGGTGCGGTCGCCCCATGAAACAGGCGGTTTCAGACTGAGATGGCAGGAACACTGACGCAGCATGACACAGGCGGGCACAGGCGGGCACGCAAGCCCATTTCCACACACCAGGCCCGTCTGCCCATGCCCCTCCCGCGCTGCTCTCCAGACACGGCCGCGGTGCTGCAGAGGTCACTCAGGGTTGGACTGAGAGCCAGGACGCATGCCAGCCCCAGTCCAAGCCCAGCATCTCCTCTTGTGGTGCAGATTTCCGGCCTTAGAAGAAACAGCTGGAGGTTCACGCCAAGGCTGGCTGTGACTCTGCACTCTGGAGCTCCCTGCGAGGGAACCCCAGGAAGATCAGGGTCACCAGCGGTCACTAGAGGCTGTGCTCCCTCTGACCTCTGAGCTCTCCTGGACAAGACAGTCTAGGCTGAGAAGAAAGGACTTTAACTGGTTGAAAGAATGTCTCCTAACTGGCTCGGCTGCAGGTTCGAGCATGACACAGCAGTGTCCCAGTGACCCCTCAGTCTCCAGGCATGTGGTCGTTGCCTCCTGTGGTCAGCACCCGCCGTGCGCGGCAGTGGCGTGTGGCGTGTAGCGTGTCAGGAGAAACAGCTCATGGCTGGGCAGGTTGGAGGAGTCTGCCTCTGCCTCCTCATTCTGCCCACCTGAGCACAGAGGTCAACACGCTGACCCTCATCCAGGACAGGTACACCATACCAACATAAGAAAGCCTGCGAACAAGAGGAGCCCATTCGGCCTGCCAGGACGGTAACTGGTTGATCCAGAATCTGACCCAGCTGTTTCTTGAAAGAAGTCAACAGCAGGGCTGGGCAACTTATTCCACACTCCCACAACTCTCAGTGTAGAAAAGTGCCCCCTGTTCTCATTTTTCAACACACTACTCCTCAGTTTCCATTTGAACTAAGATCTTCAAAACACATGTTGAATCCACGCATTTTCTAACTACTTTATTGAAAATACAGGCCTATCCCAGCAAGCAATGGGTGCAAGGCACTTGTAGAATCTAAATTTCTCAAAGAAAATAAAATACATAAGAATAGGACAAAAACAGAGGACTAAAACAATCAACACTGAGCACAATGCAAATAGCAATTTATCAGAAAAAAACATACAGTGAAGGAAATCCTGCAAACTCAATCCCTAATCTTCATGTAAAACCATGAATTAAATGGGCTTGATGAGGATTTGGGACATTATACTGTCTCTGTGAGCAAACAGACTGATAAACCTAATTAATGGATCAAACGAAGCCAGGTTTTCCGGAATTGGCTCATGGCTCATGTCTTGTCAAGATTCCCAGACTGCAGGCTGGGGACAGAGCTCCGATCTGGATCCGGACATACGTCACCCACATCTTCTGTCCTCTCTGGGGCTACAAATACTAATTTACACTGACGTAGCTCTTTCCGGAGCACCGTCAGCTCCTATTCCCGTATCTGAAAGGTGTGAATTCATGCTCAGAAGCTACACTTTAACCTGTGGAGTGTTTTAAATGGGAACCAGATGTTTGTTTTGCCATGCTCTATTCTTTTCCTCATTACTACTGCGGTTTCATAACAGCCTCTGTGATTTCCGACACTCTCCGTGAGTCGGAAAAGGAAATTCCAGACTCTCCTCCCTCCACTGCACACGACACCGTGTTAACTGTCTACTTGACTGGAAGCCCCTGATCCTCGATTCTCCTTTCGCCTTCGTTCCGAGAAATCAGCCAAAAACCTTGAAGATCGGTAGTTCCAGATATCAGCAGGAAACATTCGCTGTTACGACACTTGAAGAAAAATGCTGCGTGTTGCAAAACAAACAAAGTTCACGTTTCCCGAACGCCATCTGAGCGACGTCAATGAGCCAGTTCCCGTTTCGTCACTCAAAGTGAGTTCGGGACACACCGCTGCAGCCCCCGGGCACGCTGTGGACATCGGGGCCGTGCCCTGAGCCTGACCTCACCGCCAGGCCACCCTCTCAGAGGGCATTGTGGGACTCCCACCACGCAGACTCCCCCATGACAGCTGCACGTGGCAATCACACACACACGCACAGAGCACATGCGAGTTCGGCCCACAGCAGCTCAGCACCTGTGACAGAAATATCTGCCTTTGGCGGAAGCGTCTGCATCAGACCCTGCTTTTTGCTGGCGGTCAAGGTGCTAGACAGAGCTTTGTGGGCACCGACTGTTTCGTGCTTGTGGTTGCCGTCACCTGCAGTACATGTTGCCTCTGTGCCACAGCTACTCTTTACAACACACGTTGCTGTACCCCCACACAATATACACAGACACACAGGTAGATGGAAACAGAGAGATGTGATCAGGTGCAGATATATGTAGCAGCAGTTCTGTGTTGCAAAGAGTGTGCGGAACCTGTTCTACAGACACACCCTGCAAATTAGAGCAGACAATTTCAAAAACGAAGAACTAAAAGCACAATCTCATTTTCTGCAGCTTAGGCTTCCTAGAACTAGAATTTGAACCTCGTAATGAGATGTTTTCAGTCTTTCTGACACCTAGATTGGAGAACAGACACCCAGAATGACTGCCGGCATCTCACGAATCGCTGCAGGTGAGCAGCCCTGCAGATGCTCTCTGCGCAGGCAGGTCGGCAGCTTGCTGGAGTGACACCAGCTGACAGAGTGGCTTGGGCAGTCTCTCAGCAGCCATGCGCTGCCCCTCCATGCACACAACACCCCTGTGCCCCTCTGCTGGGCCACACAGGAGCACTCCCCCCACCTGACGAGAGAGCCGCAGCACGAATGCTACTTACACACACGTGTGTGATTTGGGGATTTTGGGAAGAGCACTAGTGCACTAATCAGAGCTTTTCCAAACGAACAGCAAACACACCAGCACTGTCCCGAAGCCTCCATGCCCGCCCGTTGTCCTGCGACACAAACACAATCACCAGGAAGGCAGCAGACAGCAGGTTTTCCAGGTCTGCCTCACTCTTGCCCTGTTTTTGAACTGCTGACAGAGTTCCCCCAGCTGGCCCTGTCTCACGCGCTGCCTGGTGCAGGTGCTCAGCTCTGCCTGTGTGCGCAGGACTGTTCCCACTGCAATGGGATCTCTCCAAATCTCTAACAAACCAGCAGCGGCAGAAGAGCCAGCATATTCCCTTTAAAAAAAAAAAGGAATGAAAGAAAACTGTTTCCACAGCCATCTATCAGTCTTAATTGGAGAAGGGGACTTCCCGGGTGGCTGAGGTTTGTTTTCACCCATGAGCAGTGACACTACTCCAGTTGCACAAGACCAGGATCTGAAACGCCCCGCTTGTAACGGGAAGTGTGTGATCTGTTACACTTGGAAAGACAATAGTGATATAATAGCTTCCTACATGTATGTCATTCAGCAGCAAACCAAGGGTTAATTCAGCTCTATAAAAGGCCAGCCTCCCTCCACAGATGCCAAGACAACAACTCAAGCTTCTCCCAGACAGAGAAGGAGCAGAGAACAGAGAACAGAACGCAACCCAGACAAGCTAACAAGGTAAGAATGCCTTTTGTGGGTTACTTACAGGAAGAAACAGGAGAGGGGGTAGCTGAACAGACCTAGAAAACAAATCTGTGCACAACAGTTGGCTGACACCAGCTTCTGAGTGCTGGGAAGCAGTCTGTTGTGGGCGCTGTGAGCACAAAGGAGCTCTTTGAGAACTGAGTTAATGCACAGGCTTGAAATATCCACTCTGCAGATCATGAATTCAGTGGCGCGGGGATTAATCAGTGCAGAGCAACGCCGCAGCTGCAGAGGAGGGGAATTCAGTACGATCTCGGGTAATCTCACACCGCGCTCCACCGTGGCGTTTGAAAGGCGCTGTGAAAGTTCGAAGCGACCGGGTCTCCGAGACAGCGGTGCCCATCTGCCTTGCCTCACGCTGAGCAGGGAGGAGAAATCCTTTTCACTAGAAACCAGGCTCCTCTAACACTCACACTGGCTTGTTAAAAGCTGTGCACCATTATTTCAACAGTAACTCCCTTAAAATATTAACTGGTAACACAATCGAACTTTACAGGTAAAACCTCACATTTGTGTCGTTTTTGTGCACTACGAATTACTGTCATTTCTTGGTTCTGACTATGAAAAAACTAAAGGAGCACCAAACCAGCTCCCTTATTTTCTTTAACTTCTAGGTCTCTTAGAGCAACTACTTTCAATTAAGAGAACTACAAGTTACTGTAACTCAATAGTGCCTACATATACTTAAAAAGCTATTGCAAAAGAAAATGTTTATGCTATGAGTGCAACTTCAGCTGACCAACCAAAGACTTGCTTGCTGTGTTAACTGGTGGCTGTTAATTTTCTCTGTTAGTGAGTGAGTGAGTGTCAAGAAATTAGCACCCCCTCCAGAGTGAGGCCAGTCTTGCGCCCTATGCTTCCAGGGTGGGCTCTGGGTGGCTGTGGTCTTTACCAGGAATAAACAGCTGAGATTACATCTCCACACCTACAGCTAAAGCAGTAGCACAGACTAACAAAACATTAAATCAGTGAATTCAGCAAATTATACAGTGTTACTTGTGAGCACCTAAAGTACTATAATAAAAAATCCGCTGATCCCAGTTATTCAAACCACAAAGCTGCAGTTGGCTGTGTTCCTGGACTTTCAGCCACTCTGTGCCGCCACTGCAGTGAGCGCTTTAGTGAAGCACCGAGAGGCGAAATGACTGCTTTTCCGAAGAACACTCTGGCAGGCTGCTCCAGCTAATGTCTCCCGCTGGCGTGTCGTGTCCTGATCTCTGTGGGAATGAGCTTGAGCCCGGAAGAGTCTGGACGTGCCCAGGCACTTCCCGAAGAGCTGCTGAGCACCACAGCTCTGCAGATCTGACTCCTGGGCGCCAGAGACTCCAGCCCGTCTCTGCTGCTGCTCTGAGGCGTGACTGTGCCCGCGGTCTGTGGGAATGGCCTCTTCCCCTGGGCAGCAGGCTGCACGGAGCTGCAATCAGCCCTTCCAGACTCCTCTGTCTGCTCACCCCGAGCACGTCTTTCCCCGTACAGACACACCGCGAGGAAGACCATCCCCACAGACTGTGTATTCCACAGAATAAAGGGATTCTGCTCGGAGGCGGTTAGCTGTAGTTAAACTTGGCTGGCGAACCCGAGAATGTGGCAGAAGTGAAAAGACCGGGATGAAAGAGTGTGGAGCAGCCGCGGGAATCTCCTGCTGCCCGCGGGCTGAATCCCCGACGAGCAGTGCTGCACTCAGCAGCCCGCCGGGGACTCGGAGACAGACACCTGAGCGCCGGCGCGCTGTTCGCTCAGGAAGTGCTGACTGCAGCGTTGCAGAGCAGCAGCAGATGAAAGGAGAGGCTGGCGGGGAGGGAGGGCCAGGCCAGAACAATGGCTCCGGCATCTTCACTGCCGCAGTGATGCCGCCGGTAATGAGCAGGTTGTCTGTACAAACCCGCTGAGCAGCTCATCTCCCGTGCGGTGTGGCTGAGAGAGCTCGGCCGCAGCCCGGAGCAGACAGGAGCAGCAGGCGGGTGCTGACAGCTGCAGGTATGGCCGCAGAGCCGGTATTAGCGCCGCTCGACGCTGCGTCAGCGCCGGCAGACCCAACACGCTCAAAGCTGGGTCATTAGCACGGCGGCTCAGAGGAGCCCCAGGAGGAAGACGGCAATTAGCAGGGAAAGATAAACAGCAATTTTCAGGGCTCTTCGTCAGAGGGGTCAGTTTGTAGACAGGGAGCAAGGTCGGGGGGGAGCTATAATATTTGGCAATCAAGATCTGCACAGACCGGTTTCTTGAGCAATCAGGTAGTCTACTCACGGTGTTTCATCTAACCTCCTCAACCTCCACCCTCTCGGAGAGCACAGAGCACAGCTCCTCCAAGCCCAGAGAGAGGAATTCAGGCAGCAGGCAGGAGGGCTCCCAGCCCTTCAGAAAACTGTCTGTTTATTCCTCAAACTGCATTCAGGGCGCTTGTGTCTGCATCACTTCATAAGATCACATGGCTGCGTAAAAAAGAACAACGTTCCACAGTGTTTTTAATGTTTAGTAATTAAAACACGCTCTGAATTATTCCTGTAATTCTACACAGCGTTCTGCCTGGGGGTCAGTGTATGAAATTCAATCCACAAACTGAATAATTGATTAAACCTAAACAGGTGCTTGAGATTCCTTGCTAGATTGAATATTTGCACTTGTTTAGTTCACTAATTGCAATGCAATTGAAATACATTTTTAAAAAAAAAATCATAAATAAGCATAAATGCAAATTATGTTAACAAACCTTCCCAGTTTAAACACTTTTTACAAGTAGTATGTGACATACCCACAATGCAGTAGGCTGCTCTCAAGTGCTCATTACTGGCAGGATGTGAGTTACTGCTCAGTCACGACAGCATGGGGTAGCTGAATTTCAGACAGCAAGCTCAGACGGGCACAGTCCAAGACTTCACCCTGGGGGCACATTACCCACCTCCTCTGTCACACTGCTGGCGCACACAGGTAACCCACCTGGTGACACGCGAGAGCCGCTCAGCCTGAGTAATCAGCACGTAGCAAGATAGCCCGGTGCATTCTGGGTAACAATGCAAAGCTGTAACAAGCTCTAATATCATTCCTGAAGAATCTGTTGGTTAGAAACAAAGCGTATACCGAGATGATGCATTGACATGGTTTTACTTTAATTACAAGGTAAGGTTAATCTGTTAAAGGAGTGATTGTTTTTCCTTAAACACTGATTCTGATGCCTGTAGTTATTATTTCGATTTCAATCTCTTGGCCTTCTACACTGTAAAGCCCTGTCATTAGGCAATGATATCAGTCTGGGAGGAAGAGAAGGTTCTCACAGTCTGGACTCCCTGGGAAGACTCTGGGTGACGTTCAGAGACAGAACTGTAGTGGAAGCATCAATAGGATCAGTTCTGCTGGGCCAGTCTGTACTGCCTGCTGTGAGTGATTCAACAGATGATCTTTCATTCACAAGTGTTAAATACCCACTCAACGCTGCAATAATAGCAGTGTTATTTAGACATCCAGCCATGCTCAAGTTAAGGATGACACAGCACACAGAACTGTTCCACTAGCAGACAAAGAGAGGCTACAGCACACGCTGAAGAAGGTGGTCTTGGTGCACATTAGCCAGGTGTAACTGTCCAGTGCTCTCCAGCTTAATGAGTGCTTAATGAACTGTCTGGGCTGAATCTTAGCTTTCGCATACAAGAATAGATGTTGAAATTTTGGCAAAATATCTTAACAATTTTACCCTGCTGGTCCAAGGTTTTAATCAGGAGGTTTTAAAATCTGCGCTGCTTTACGATGTAGAAAAGAACCCGTACATCCTACACACTGAACACTCCAGAGGTCATCTATATTCCAAATTCCTAAATCCCAGGGAAACCACTCTGATGTGTGCTGCAATCCCAGGAGACTGAGTGTGAACTGACTGACTCTACCCAGACTGTGGCAGCACAGCCAAACAGAAGTCAGCCCAGCTAAAAGACACATGCACACACACACACGCAGTAGCAATCGGGTCTGCTTATCACAGCAGAGAGAGGGGAGGAAAACATCAAGACAGTTAAGAACTGAACTGCTACATGAACGCTAAAGAACATGAAAACAAAAACAACACCAGTTTCCAACATCATGTTACATGAGATCTATAGATCTGATACCTCTCCAGATTAATCTGACAACAGACAACACCTGGCTGGATGCACACTTCAATCATTTTCCAGCTAAGAAGATCGAGACTGTTTTGTCTTCATTTTGATCAGATAATCAAATGTCCTGTTCCCTTCCGATCATCAGGAAATACCAGCTGTCTCATTTTCTGTTTTCCTTTTCAACTTCTAAAAATATCACCAATCTAGAGAAGAGAACAGACTCCTCCCAGGTATCCAGGCAGTTTGACAGAGAGACAGAAGGAGGGGACATGTATCCGCACACAGACTTCCAAACCAGCAAAAGACTCATATCATATGTCATATCCTGTCAGTCGTGCGTTTGTGCAAGCAGCAGCAAGCACACATGAAAGCACAGCTTAGAAGCACCAAGCACAAGTTGACATTAGACATGATACTGGACACTGAACTGTGATCAGAACCCTGTCTGTATTGATTCCCAGCTGTGAATTCTGCAGGTCACCAGGTCACTCTGAAGTGGACGAGTGACGAGTGACGAGCTCAGAGCTGCACCTGTAGCTCTTTCTTACTCGGCTTTGCAGGAGACACACGGGACAGAGCTCCACCAATCAGCCCGACGCCCATGTCTCTGTCTGTCTCTCCCCCTGCAGGTTCAGCTGCCCGTCTGACACAATGAGCTCCCAGTGGTGTGTGTTTGTGAGCAGCCTCTCTCTGGCTCTTCTGATCGGGGGCCTGACTGACGCCTGCACCTGCGGCCCCCAGCACCCCCAGACTAAGTTCTGCTCTTCTGACGTTGGTGAGTGCCCACAGACCGGCTGAGCCGGAGCTGGGGCTGCAGTCTCTGACAGCCTTTCCTGCCACAAGATGTTGGGCATCAAGTGTTTCTTCAGCTCAGACTCCTCCCACCCCCCTGCCATTTGCAGTTCCACATTTTTCAGTGTGAAGAAACTCACAAACAAGTGAGGACTGAGCCCCTTCCCTCCCTCTGGGGGGTCTAAGCCCCTGTCTGAGGTGTGTCAATGGCTGTGCTGCAGGTACAGGTTTGTGCTGAAGGAGTCAAATTAACATTTCACTCAGCTCACAGCCCAGAGAATTCAATTTGTATTATTTCTCTTATACAATTTTGTAATTTAGGGCCAATTATCAATTATCACCTCAAGAAGGGAATGTTTTATAAATGTTTTGCCAGTGACAAGAATAACTTCCAAGCTGTTCTGGAGATTCCCTTAATCTGTCTATGAAACTGATTTCAGGACTCAGAGTTCAAGTCCATTCAGTATCAGGACTTGTTCTGTAACACAGCTCACCCTGTCTAACCTGGAGAGTGACTGGGCAGTTTGTGTTAGGAAGGGCTTCTATTACACAGCCAGTGTTGCAGCATGAGCTTGACTGCAGGTCTTGTGTGCTGTCTTGCCAGTGATCAGAGGCAGGATCGTCGGCATGGAGTACGTCAACATGGACAACCAGACAGACGCCCCGCAGTGGATCCGCTACGAGGTCAAGCAGACCAAGGTAATCCAAGGCCGAGTGCTGGCTCTCTCAGATCAAATACTCTTTGCTCAACTTGTCCTCCCTGAAATGCACTTTGTTGCAGCCCTCATGTGCTCAGCTACAGCAGTGAGGTAAAGTAGCCCTCACCATCTTCCCAAGGTGTATCATGGCAGGCCGCTCTGTGCATGTGCTTGCCAAAGGTAGGCTTTCTCTGGCAAGCACATGCACACAACTGGCTTCAGACACACGCAGCTCAGAGCCTCGCAGACTCTAAACAAAGAAAAGAGGGACAGGAAAAGAGTCCCGGAGCGGGAAGAGGAGAGAGGAGGAGAGGAAAGTGGGAGAGTAGGAGAAAGGAGAGGGACGGTCCACATGCTCTGCCACAGTCTGTGGTCAGGGTAATGGAGCCCCAGGCCCTGGCTATAAATAAACAATCAAGTCCACTGAGTCAGAGCAAGGAGCCTAGAAAACCACAGCAGATGCAGAAAGGGGCCGTCTGAGTACCTGAGCACAGGCCACACCCAACATACCAAATAAACACTGTGCTGCTCACTGTGGTAACACACATCTCCACTGTCCTTCCTCTCGAGTGGGATGGTGAACTTTCCATGCCTTGTTTGGTTTGGCTTTGCGTCGCTGTGCGCCGTGCAGCTGTGTGTGCGTGTGTCTTTACTGCCAGCACATCTGCGGCGCCCTGAGCTCTACAGCGCTGCCCAGACTGGGGTCAACCCTCTCTGCCCTCCCTGTGGTCACTGTCCTGTGTGAAGAGCAAACTGGTTCTTACTCTCCCTCGCTGCAAGAACAGGCGCCAAGGGACCAGATCATAAATAGTGAAGTGAACTGAGAAACAGCAGAACACGCAGAAGCATGTGAACTCCTCTCTCATGCTGGCTGCCTGTTCACAGCCTGCAACACACTGTGTTCATAATAATCCATCTGCTGCACCTGGTGTTCCTGAAGGCTAATGATCCCTGTGTTACAGATGTTCAAGGGCTTTGAAAGAGTGGCAGATGTGCACTACATCTACACCCCCCATGATGGCGGCGTGTGCGGGTTCGAGTTCAACCTCAGTGGCCCTGCCAAGCAGACTGAGCTGGTGATGGCCGGGCTGCTGACTGAGGACGGGCGCGTCATGGTGTCAGTTTGCAGTTTCATCCAGCCCTGGGACAAGCTGAGCACTGGGCAGAAGCGGGGCATCATGTACACCTACAAGGACAACTGTGACTGCAGGGTGAGCTGTTTCACTGCATCACTGCACTGTCGCACAGCACTGCACAGTCACACTAGAGTACAGCACTGCACAGTCACACT